GGCAAGGCCCTGTGTTGAGGGGCTTTTTCTGGGGGCCTCACACTGCACCAGTGCCTCAGTCTCAGGCCTCACCTCAGCTACACACAGCTGCCCAGCTTCCAGAACAGAACAGAAAAGCTCCTGGCCGGCCACAGTGGCCCAGCTTTTCCCACGGTGGGGTCAGGGCTCCTTGCTCTTTTCTCAGACTCTGACTTCTATTTGTGGTGTGTTTTCGTTCTAGGCCTGTAAGCGTGCACTGGGTGGGGGTGGGGCAGAGTGGGCGTGCTGTTTCTGGATCCATTTCAGCACGTGGAGAGCAGGCAGCTGAGACCTGAGCCTGGTTCCTGAGCTGTGTCGACAAGGAGGCCCGGGCCCCGGTTTAGCTCGGCTGTGTATGCTCCCAGGAGGCTGAGACACCGACAGCTTCAGAACTCAGTAACTTTGGTTCTTCCTTTCTACACCCCAAGCTCAGACAGCCCCGGTCCTTCAGCTACATGCTCTGACGGATATATAGACAGGCTGAGATCTCAAGGGGAGTGGGACTCTGATGGCCTCACTGAGATGATGAGGGCACAGCTCCCCTACTCTGGCTGCTAGGTCATGAAATCTACTCACCCTGCTCGCCCTATTCCGAGCCAACGAGCTAGGCTTCTGGCGACCTTCTTCACATAGTCCTACCACTGGGCCTGCAGGAGCCTCGAGGCCTCATGGCACTGGGATCAGCGTGCTCTTCTGAGCTCCCCCGAACTTTGTGCAGCGGCATGCGGCTTCCCCTGGGCTGTTCATTTCCACGTGCTGACCACTTCTGCCTCTCCAGCAACCTCCAGATTTTAGAAAGCCCTCAAGCCAAGCACATTTCCAGCGCCAGCTCCCGGGCCCACCTGTCCTGGCCGCTCTCGGTGTCTCCTGCTCGCACAGAGGCCATGCTGTCCAGGCAGTCCCCAAGGTTGACAGCCTTGAGTTGCTCTGGCCCTCACTCACTCTCCGCAGCCCATGCTCACCTCAGGCCCTCACTCACTCTCCGCAGCCCATGTTCACCTCACCTCTCACAGGAGTATCCGGGCTGTTCAGTTGGAGGGCACATGCCAAATAGGGGGACTCTACCTCCTTGCCAGGCTTCTGCTTCCTCTCAAGGTGGCTCGGAACTGGAATGAGGGAAGGCTGGCAGCCAGCCTTAGATGATCCCCTCTTCTCTACCCTCTTTGGACAAAGCCTGCCTCAGCTGTATGCAGCATTCAGGACGAGGAGGGACGGTGGCCATGTAAAGGAGGCCTAGCCTTTCCCTTTGGGAGACTTGGCAACATCTAGAAGGGAACTATAAGGAATTAATATGTATAAAATGCTTAAAGCAGCCCTGGTTCTTAGCGAGAACTCAATACTAGCTCCTTTTTAATTGCTGTCATATTCTCTCTCTCTCTCTGAGATAATGTTTAATGTAGCCTAGGAAGGCCTCAAAACTATGTAGCCAAGAATGACCTTGAATTTTTGATCCTCCTTCCTCTGCTTCCCAAGTGCTGAGGTCACAGGTACCCACTACTAGGCCTGGCTCACCACTGTCTAATTCTTTTTGAGTTTGTTTGTTTGTTTTCTTGACAGGGTTTCTCTGTGTAGCTCTGGCTATCCTGGAACTCGAGCTATAGACCAGGCTGGTCTCGAATTTAGAGATCCACCTGCCTCTGCTTCTGAGAGCTGGGATTAAAGGTATGAGCCACCACAGGGCTGTCTATTCTAATTCTTTTTTTTCTTCCAATTTTTAGTTAGTTTGTTAACTTTGTATCCCTGCTGTATCCCACTCCCTCTTTCCCTCCCAATCCTACCCTCCCTCATCTCTTCCCTGCCCCTCTATTCTAATTCTAGTCTTCAGAGGTATCATTACCACCCACATTGCAAGGGAGACATAGAAGCAGACTCCCAGATGCCTGCCTGAAATAACAGCACTAAGTGGCTCAGAGTGTTGGAACCTAAGCCTGCTGGAGGCTTGTGCTCTCGGCTCTTGCTTAAGCAGGTCTGTCTCATGTTTGGCATCAGCTTTTCAGTGTTCACAAACTGCCTATTGCATCTGAAAGTCCGTGAAGGCCCCACCTCCACAAGGCTGGTTGAGGCTGAGGTGGGTTCTCCCACGTGGGAATGCCTGTCCTTCCACAGCCCAGCCTTTCTCTCTGGGACTCTGCAGCCTGGTCCAGGGGTTAGGGTTCCACAGAAACACCAGGCCCCACCTAGTGGCAATACACGGGACTGCACGTGGCCCAGCTGAAAGCTCAGCAGGCAAAAGGCGGTAGGGTTCCTGAGGGCGGCCATGGGGTGGGGTTGCCACAGCCTCTTGCTGGTAACTGCAGCAGATGCTGGGCTCTGTTTTTCTGAAATCATTTCTTCCTTCCCCAAACTTTCTATTTCTTACTTCCCACACCGCAAGTGACACACTATCCAGAGCTGTGTCCCCTTCATGGGCTCTGGTGCACACCACCTCCCCCTTCCTCACTCTTCCCCTCTGGAAGCACCCGTGCCCACCGCTGCCCTTCCAGCCAGCGGTGGAGCCGCACCTGAGCAGTGCCGCCCTCTCCACATGGCGTTTGCCCACCCCACCTCCTTAGCTCCCCTGACTACCCCCCTACAGTTGTCTCTGCTGGAGTGGCGAGGCAGAAACCCAGACTGCTTCTCCCCATCTGCTCTGTGCATGGGCACACAAGCCATGCTGTGAGACCGTGAAGGGTTATGGCGTGTTCCTGTGTCCAGCACGTCACTACATGAACACCAGACATTTCACCTGTGATGTGTGAGTGGCATTCTCTGGAGGGTACAGCGGTGACCGCTGTTCCTGCCTTCAAGGAGATTAATCTAGGACTTCTTCCTCACTCTACCTGCCCAGCTGTAACCCCACCATGGCCCCTTCATGTGCATGCAGGGAAGAGGTAACACGGCCTCTTCCTCCCCAATGCCTTTTCTTTCAAAAACATTTTTTTTTTTTTTTAAGATTTATTATGTATACAGTGTTCTGCCTGCAGGCCAGAAGAGGGCACCAGCTCTCATTATAGATGGTTGTGAGCCAACATATGGTTGTTAGGAATTGAACTCAGGACCTCTGGTAGAGCAAGCAGTGCTCTGAACCTCTGAGCCATCTCTCCAGCTCCCTCAGAAATATTTTTATTTAGTGTGTATGGGTGCTTTCCTGCATGTGTCTGTGACTGCCTACCACTGTGCAACGCCCGAGGGAGGCTGCCACTCGGGTGCTGGGACAAAGCCCTGTGTGATCTTAACCTCACTTACTGCTCCGGCTCCTTCTTTTCTTTTGTAAAATCAAGACAGGATCCATCTATAGCCCAGGCTGGTCTGCCCAAGGCAAACCCCCTGCCTCTGCCCTCATGGTGCCGAGATTAGAGGTGTGAGCCACTATACCCAGCCTTATCGTCTCCTTGAGTGAGCTGTAGAGAGGAGCTGAAGGAAAGGGAACAGAGAACTTCACAGCTTTGTTTGTGAGACACTTTCAGGCTGACCTTCAACGCTGGATTCTCTGGCCTCCATCTCAAGTGCAAGGCATCTGCCACTACAGAGCTCAACCTGCTTCTTAAATCTACACTTTCATGCGCGTGCTGAGGTTAATGCTGAGGTGGAGGTTAATGTGCCAGAGTGTCAGTTTTCAGCTGGCACACTTGGCAGCAATTGTCTTTACTCACTGAGCCATTTCACTGCCCCCCCCCCCTTTTTGGCCCTTTCTTTTTTAACACTTTTGTGTCTGAGTGTGAGTGAGCGGCCACACAGGTGTAGAGGTCAGGGGACAACTTGTGGGCTTCAGGACCTGATCAGAGATGAGCAGGCATCTTTACCCCTTTGAGCTGTCTTGTGGTACCTTTTCTCCTGTGGCGCTGTGAACAGGACTTCTGGCATGCTAAGCTTGAACTCTGCGCTGTCCTGAATGAGAAATGGTTCCCATAGGTCTAGGGATGGAGCTTTGCTGGGGGAAGTCTGTTACTGGCTGCAGCCTTTGAGGACAGTCTCACTTCCAGCTTGCTCTATGCTGTACCTGCAGCTGAAGATGTGCTGACAGCTCCCCATGGCTGTCTTCCCACACTGGACCTGTCCCTCTGAAATTGTAAGCCCAAACCTTTTATCCACTCGTTGCCCTTAGTTACGTCAGTTATCGTAGCAACTGACCTGCAAAAGGGACAGAGGGTAGTAATTGGGACAGGCATCTCCGGGAAGAAAGGGTTAAGGTGGTAGCACAGGCGGCCGCCTAGGTTATCTAGTCATGACAGGCTTTATCTGATGTAAAACCACAGGCCCGGCTCAGAAACAATCAAATGGCAACAGGAGAGTGAATCTCTACCTTCACCGGTGGCTGTAAAATGGGCCTAGTGGGAGACAGGAAAGGGCATGGCCTTTTAAAGGGGACCCAGGGCGCAGTGCATTGTGCCCTCCTACCTGTGAAAGCAGGGTCCACCCTGTGCCCGCCGGTTCTGAGCTTAGTGGCCAGGAGAACCATATGGCTACTGAGTGGCCTTGGAGACAATCAAGTCCTTGTCACTTGCTGACCGCTGGTCCTGTTAGCTCTGTCAACTAGAATTAATCTGGAAAAATAATTTCAATTGAGGGAACTCCCAGATCAGATCTGTGGACTGTCTTGTTAACTTACGTAGAGGCCTATCTTCAGGCTCCTGTCCCCAAGCCTTCAATGACAGACTGTGACCTGAAACTATAAGCTAGACAAACCCTTTCCTCCCCTCTGCTGCTTTGGTCTGGGTACCTTATGACAGCGATGGGAAAGATACTAGGACATCTCTCCAGCCCCAGGCAGGGGAGGACGGGGCGACACTTTCCATGGTGTCCGGCCCAGGCTGTTGGTTTCCCACTGCTCATTAGGACCCCTGGATGTGGATCAGGATGACACACCTACTCAATGACACCTTCAAGAGACAGGGCTCTGCAGATTCTATCACCTCTCTACATAGCAATTCCAACCCTGGATGGGTGTTTTGTTCCCCCAGGGAGCTATCCCAGCACACCAAGACAACACAGCCTGATACAAGTCAAAGTTGTTTTTTTGTTTTGTTTTAAATTTTTTTGCTTTTGTAAAGAAAAATAACATCGTGTTTTATGTATGAATCGAAACATAAGTAAAAGCCCCTCCTGAGCGCACAGGATGCCCGCTGTGCTGCTGTAGGGGCCACAGCGTCTCCCTGGGTGCTTCCTCAGGACAGGAGACAAAGAATGCTGGGGAACAATTTGGTTTCATTAGGCAGGAAATAAAACTTAAAAACTTGATGCACCCAACTGTACAAACACAGACCAAGAGATGCCACCTCCAAGCTTGAACCTTTGGTGGCAGCTGGACTCATGGAGTCCTGACACCTGACTGCCCATATGCTGGGGTGTGAGACAACCCAGGTTAGCATCAAGATCTCCCTGGACAGGAGTGTGGCATTAGGGTCAGGTCTCCTTCCCTAGAGTAAAAAGAAAAAGAGAAAGAGTACGAGAAGCACCCAAAGCTTAAGAAGCCATCTCCCCGACAGGGAGAACTGGAGGCGTCTGTTTCAAAGCACAAGCCTTACCTGGCAAAAGATGTATAAAAAAATAAAGTTAAACTTTATCCCTGAATGACAGTGAAGACCCTTCCCTGCCCCATGCCCCTCCCACACAACAAATCCCAAGGGGTACAACACAGAGACACACATACACAAAGACAGACAGACCGACAGACAGACAATGCACGCACGTACACACGCAAGCCTTGGGCCAAGGCCTGGGATGGGGGAAGGGGACTGACCCCCACAGGCACATGTGACCCCACACTATCAAAAGAACCAGTGTTAGGCCAAAGTTCCTCCTTTCTTCCTCAAGGGACAGGGTGCATTCCAGCAAGCCTGCAATGTTCTCAGCAGGACACAGTCAGGCAGAAGGCCAACTGAGGTGCCCTGGAGGCAGAGGTCATGTGGGACTCAGATGGGGCAGGACGAAGGAGAGGGCAGTGGGCGTCAGGGCTGAAGCAGAAAGGGACCTGGGGTCGGGGAGGGTCCAGTCTCATCTGAATTGTGCAGCTCCTGGGAACGGACTGGGATGTGAGACAGAGGCTTTGACACACGGGCAGGGGTGGCTCTGGTGTTCTCAGGGTAAAGGAGCTACCTGCTGGGGAAGTCACCGGAAGTCACAAAGCAGGTGTGCAAGGAGGAGTCAGGGGAGGAAGAACCGCCACTTAGCCTGAGTCCCAGGATTCACACGTGGCCAGCCCTGCCTTGGCGGGATGGGCTGCCAGATGCCTGCTCTGGGGAGGCTGGCTCTCTGCAGTGGGCAGGAGTGAGGAGGAAGCGATCCAGGCTCCATGTGCTTCTCCCAGAGGCTTTCTCCATCTTGGTTCTTGGGAGGGCTCTGAGGCAGACCTCTGGTGTCTCGGAGGACAGAGGAAGATGTGACTCTGTGGGCAGAGGTAGCCTGGCCAGCCCCTGCTGCAGCTGAAATGCACTAGTGTCCCTGGGGCTGGGCAGCTGGTCAAAGATCCCTGGCTTTTGGGGACAGAGTGTCAGCACCAAACACAGTTGACATCTGTAGTCTGTTGGATGGACAGCAGGAATCCTGAGGTCAAGGGCCCTGGTGTCAAGGCGGAGACAGAGCCCCTCAGAGAGGGATCTGAGCGGCAGTGGTGGCAGCAGCATGCACCTGGGCACTGCCCTCTGGAAGGGCACTCAAGGCGGTCAACGCAGGCTCTGGTACAGGTAGGCTGACGTGAAGAGTGCATTGGCAGCCAGACTCACAGCCAGGAGGCCCCGGACCAGGGAGGGGCCCACACGAGCTGTAAGCAGAGCACAGTCAGGAGCAGTGTGGCTGGCACCCTGATCCTCAGGCAGGGCGTCTGCCTACTCCAAGGCAAACCCTCTCCCTAGCTGGCCAGGCCACATGCAGGCCCCCTCCAGCAAAGCCCCCTTGCACGAGGACCTGGGGCCCTGCCGAGAGTACTGGGTGGAGCCCTGCTTTGCTGAAGGCCTATCTTTCCAGAACCTATGTGACCATGTGGACCCTAGGTCAGGCTGCCTGAGACTGCACCCAGTAACAACTGGGTAACCCAGACACCAGTGTCACAAAGGAAAAAATGGGGGCTTGAGGAAAATCACCCTGCTCAAGTCTCAAAGACTAAAAAGTAGACTAAGAAGCCAGGCATGGTGGTGCACACCTTTAATCCCAGCACTTGGGAAGCAGAGGCAGGTGGATCTCTGAGTTTGAGGTCAGCCTGGTCTACAAAGTGAGTTCCAGGAGAGCCAGGGCTGCACAGAGAAACCCCATCTTGGTGGGGGGAAAAAAGCAGGCTCAGGCTTGGAATGATGGCACATGTCTGTGATCCCAGCACTGGGGAGATATAGGCAGGACATGAGGAGACCAAAGGCATTCTCAGCTTAGTAGGCTCAAAGCCACCCTGTGCGACATGAGCCTTCGCTTAAAAACAGTTAACAGAATAACCACAAGTAGACTGAGGTCCCAGGCTTTTCGTCATCAAAGTCACAGACCACAGTGCAGGCCTGACTCGGGCACAGCACTGGCTCCCAGTTAGGAAGCGCCACTGGCTGACCTGTCCTGTCCACCACTGGTGTCCTGCCTTCCCGTGCAGGAGATGTCACCGGGGTCATCACCGACGGTCTCACACCCTGTCAGCAACCCAGCAAGCACGGAGACAGGACCAACCAGGAGGCTGGCAGCGCTCTGCCTTTGCAGTTCCTGGGCCCTCAACCCGGCAGCCTCCGACTCTCCAGTGACAGGAGCCGTGGGCTACCCACGACTACTCAACATCTGACATGGGGCTAGCACAGCTGAGGAGATGAACTAGGAGAGTCATCACAAGGGTGGTGCTCTAGAAGGCTCTCTATCAGACACTGTGGTCCCCTCCAGGGAGCTTGGGACTAACTCTCCCAGCCCTGCATCACAGACCTTTCCAGGGAGCAGCCTCCTCTGAGCACCCTTTGGTGGTGGTGTCCACCATGCAGGTGGAGGACTGGGACGAGTCATCTTCTTTCTTGATGGAGGGGCTGCCGTGGGCACCGTCTCTTGCCAGCATAGATCTCATATCTGGAGAGGGAAGAGGGAGCATCCCACTGTGCTAAAGCTCAACCCAGGGACATCCCCTGCAGGTCCTTGCAAGTCCCAAACTGCTCGCGTCTGAGTGGCAGAGGGCCAGGGTCTTGTTTGGGCCCTGTGTTGAGGTAGGGGCAGCAAGTAAATGCTAACTGGCATGAGCAAGTTCCGCGAGGCCTGAGGCTGAAGACCAGAGCGGCCCCGGCTACGGGCTGCCTGCACGCCCCTCCTCTCAGCACCACTTGGTCCAAGTGGCCAAATCTACCCACATTTACAGACCTAAGAGAGCCACCCACCCCACGTGGCAGCCCGAATTTTAACAGAGTCCAATTAAGGTTTAAAAAATGCTGGGCAGGGTACAAGGGTGTAGGCAGGATGAAAGCATTTGTAATGGATACAGGTCGACAATACACCTAGGCTTTTCAAGGTCCCAGTAAACGAAGATGTGAAAGCCAATTACAAAAGCAATGGATAAGCTGGGCATAGTGGTGCTGCCTTTAATCCCAGCACTTGGAGGCAGAGGCAAGTGGATCGCTGTGAGTTCAAAGCCAGCCTGGTCTACAAATTGAGTCCAGAACAGCTAAGGCTACACAGAAAAACCTTGTCTCCAAACAAACAAAAAAACAAAACAAACAAAGCCAAAAACAAAACAAAAAAGAGGAAAGGATAAAACTATCCAGCAGACCCATACTGGGCAGTCTAACAATGGCCCACCACAGAAGGTGCCCTCCGAGGTCAGCCAAGAGTACCCATGGCAGTACCTACTGCACCTCTAGGCCCACACATACCCATGGCGTGCTCCGTGCGAGTCCTCTGGGCGAGCTGCCGAGGCTCAATGAAGAGGCTGCCGTTGGGTGGTGAGTGCTCTTCCGAACTGCTGGGAGTATTGGGCATTTCCCCAGGGGGCGAGAAGAGCAGCAGTTTCTGCCCTTTCAGGTTGAGCCGGGCAGGGCTGATGAGGGGCCTGCGGTGGCGCACGGAGCCAGAGCTGGAGGCCATGGAGCTGGCTACAGAAGGTGCTGGGGAAGGAAGGGGAGAAGAGGGGAAGCTGCCCGACAGCAGAGAGAAGTAATCTGCAGAGAGAGGCGACAACAAAACCGTGACATCACCGCACAGCGACACTGACGTCTGCCACCTGCCACTGGACCCCGTGGTCCCCATGTAACTCATGGAGGAAGGCACGCTGTAGGCTGGGGATGGTAGGAAGCCCAGCAGGAACGGGGCGGAGCGGGGTGAGGGGAAGGGACTGGCCCGAGCAGGATAAGGATGGAGGTGTCTCCCTGCAGCTCTATCTATCTGTGGACACAGCATGATACCGTCTGATCCCAATATCCCCACCCCTAACTCACATCAGAGAAAGCCTAGACACAATCATGTTCGTCTCTTGCCCTGGGCTGGGGTTTGAACACAGGTCCAGTGCCCCCAAACTCACAGTTAACATTGTACAGACACCCTTGGCCTCAGGAGCACCTGGAAACAATTTTCCAGTGCCTTCTGCCAGCTCTTGTTCTACTTACCTGAAAGAGAAACCTCCCCCGGTGGAGACACCCGAGACGGTGGGCGGCTGCCGCTGAACAGGTATCCTGAGTCTGGGCGGAAAGAGAAACGCAATATAGAGACGTAAGGTGATGAGCCAACACTCCCTGTCTTCACGGTCTTGCCTCACAGTTAACTTTCTGCTGTCATGAAAGCACGTTTTGCCATCCAGGGCACACGGGAACAGGCCCACTTTGCCAGTAGAGACTGAAGCCTTCAGTGGGTTGGAGGAAGTCAGCAGTAGTCACAGTCTGTGCCTCATTATCTACCTTGCTTTCCACACTCTGTGCTAGTACCTGTGAGTGTTTAGCTTGCAAGCAGGTAAGTATGTACACCAAGTAAGTGCAGTACCCCCAGGGGCCAGAAGAGGGAGTCAGACCTTCTGGAACTGGAGTTACAGATGGATGTGATCTGCCAAGTAGATGCTGGGAATTGAACCCCCTTCCTCTGGAAGAACAGCCATGCTATTAACCACTGAGCCAGCTCTCCAGCCCCAAGGTACCACTATTCTCAGTCATCTTGAGTCCCACTATCCTTTCCCAGGTGTCTCCATAGTTCTTGGTCCCAAACCACTAGAACTCAAGGGGAACCCAACACTGCCTCTTCCTAAATCAAATACACCCTCAGGGCAGGGTCCTGTCTCAAGTATCTCAGTCTCCCCAGTGGCCAAATGCAGGCAGCTGAAATGCCATGGTGGTTCCTCCTCTCTAGTCCAGGCCAGATGACTAGGAAAGGGTTCTACAACTCCTTAGCTTGCCTATCTCCGTGGAAGCCGGGGTGGGGTGGGGGAATCTCAGTGGGCATGAGCGGCTGGATTCGGTATCTAGCAGAGAAACAGAAGCATGGTGGAGAGAAAGAAAAGACAGAAAGAGGGACAGACAGGAGGCCCACTGCATGCCTGAGCTCTAGACCTGGTCTCCTGGTATGTGAGCCAAGGGCCGGCTGGGCCCACTTACTGCCTTTGCAGACCCTGGGGTTCTGCTACCACTATTCAGAGACCATAACTGGGTCCACAGCACTCTGCTGCCGCCTTACATCTCACAGAGATCTGCTGCCCCTAACAACAGGGAGCCCTAACTATCACTGGGACTGCCATCTTTCTCTCCCAAGGGGCTTGACAGGGAAGTCTGTCAACCCAGCTGCTCCCAGTCTCAGTCCTGGGCACCTGGGGCTGCGGAAGACGCATGGGACAGGGTCCGCCTGCTAACACCCCGAGACCAGCAGACAGTTCTGGGGTCCACTGAGTGCTTGGCCAACTAGTCCTATTTCCTCTCACCACAGACCCAGACACAAGTGCCTCATTTTATTGTTGTTGTTATTATTTTTCAAGACAATGCTTCTCTGTGCAGCCCTGGTTGTCCTGAAACTCACTCTGTAGACCAGGTTGGCCTGAACTCAGATTCGCCTGTGTCTGCCTCCCAAGTGCTGGGGTTCAATGTGTGCGCCACCACTGCCTGGCTATTGTTATTAATTTAGATGCTGGGGAGAACCCAGGGGCTCATGTACCCCAGGAAAGTGCTCTACCACTGAGCCATACCCAGGCTGTACCCTGATGAGACTGAGGTGCATATTAGCAGCAACCAACTGACTGAAAGGCTGATTCTTCACATTCTTGCATAGAGTAAATCCTCACCAGCCCAGAAACCATGCAAGATTGGCCTATGTCATAGACAGGGAGAGGAACACCATGGTAATACAACTTGTCAGAGTTGGCCCGAGTAACCCCCTTTTACCCTCTAAGAGCAGCAGAGGGGGAGAGACACACTGGCAGCTGGGTGGGTGCTAGGTAGAATCTGGAGCTAGGTAAAGAGGAATTGCTTCCTGCACAGGAAAAAAAAACCTCTGGGAAAAGGAAAGGCAAGATAGAGTCCCTCCAGATGGGGCTAGGACTTGGTCTCTTCAGGTTTCCCAAGCAGCAAGCAACCAAGAAATGCAACTGGCCGGAACAAAATCCTTGCCCTTCAGGTACACATTTTCTAGTAAGAAAGGCAGGAAGAGAAAGGCAGGTAGATCTCTGAGTTTGAGGCCAGCCTGGTCTACAGAGTTGAGTTCTAGGATAGCCAGGGCTATACACAGAAACCCTGTCTTGAAACCCCCCCCCCAAAAAAAAAAAACCAAACAAAAAACCCCCACCAAGCTCCTGACAGTAAAGAGTGAGGAAGCTACTTTGGCAGTGACCTCGATGACTGCAGATGTACAGTTGAGGAAGAGGGACATGGACGGCTTCTGTGACAACTCTACTACTCCCTACGTTCCCCGCCCCCCACAAAAGAGTAACAGTCCAAACAGGAAGCACTGAAGGAAACTCTTAAAAAGTGTGATAAAGAGGCTGAGGTGTAGCTCTCTACAACCGATGGCTTTGGGCAGGGGTGTGGGAGAAAGGGGCAGGCCAATGAGAGTCTGACCATGCTTCACTGAGTATATAGATAACACAAATTGGACTTGTTTTTCCCCTATTTTTATTTTAATTTTTGCTTTTTTTTGGGGGGGGTCACAAGGGTTGGGACATAGAAAGGTGGACACAGGACTGGTGAGAGTGATGGGGTACACGATGTGAAATTCCCAAAGAATCAATAAAAATATTACATTAAAAAAAAAACAAAGGAAAATAATGGAGAAGAAGTAGGTAGGCAAACAGGTAGAAAATGATAAGGTAAACCTTAGAGCATTCATTTACTGAGACCCAACAGATTTGGCACTTTTCTGGGGGGTGGGTGGGGAGGACCCTGAACTTCTGATCCTCCAGAGTGCTGACTTACAGGTGCACACCACCATGCCTTGTTTATGAGGTACTGGGGCCTGAACCCAGGACCTTGTGAACGCCAGGCAGGGAAGCACTCTACTGAGCTACAGTTGTAGTCTTCCTTTGAGACCTCTAAAAATGTAATTTCAAGTAACACAACCACCCACGAAGAGCATACAAGCCCATGTTCTGGGGAGGGAAACAGGAGGCTGTGCCTGGTCAACGTGGTTGCCGAGTGGAGCTCACCTGGTTGGGCCTGGCCCTGTCCATCTCCTCAGCAAGGGTGCAAGCTAACTCTTTGGTATTGCCCAACTCCTCCTCCTCCTCACAGGATGCTGAGCCAGCTGCCCCCCGGCCTGATTCTGTCACCGAGGCTTGCCATCGAGTTCTTACCTGTCCGGGTCAGGGAGGGTATGGTTCCCAGGGAGAGGGCCCGATTGAGGCGTCCCGGCAGCGAGGAGGGTGAGGCCCGACGGGGAGAGCGGAACAGCTGTTGCTTGGTGAGAGGCAGGAAGCCGGGTGGAGTGGGGATGAACACGGGGGCTGGCGAGGCTGTAACGCTTGGGCAGGGCATGGCCAGGCTGGGGCTGGAGGGGAAAAGGCTGGCCGAGTCTCCTGAGAAGTACCTGCAAGGGCCCATGGGGCACAAAGAGGAAGGACGTGAGCCAGGGAGGTTCCGGAGATAGCCTCTGCACAATGGGGCCCGGGCCCTCCCAGGGTGTGAGGTGGGCCTGAGTCGGGGTCCCAGAGGAGGCGTGCGTTAGTTGAAGCAAGAGAGCAATTGTCCACTTATTAGGAGCGGGTGGCTGGGAGATGCCAGCATGACCCACCCCACCCTGCATGCCCCTCCAACCCCTCAGGCTCACTGCAATCTACTCTACTACAGGTCTCGGTATTAAAGCGACACTGTTACCCTGGCCAGACTCACACCAATCCCCACTTTGCCCTGAAGCAAACATTCCTATCCCCAGACCAGGCGCCATCGGGGCTCAGGGAACCTGGAGTTCTGGCTACCTCCCCTTCTTTGCCTCCAAGCTCCCAGTGGAGCAGCTGGGCTCAGAGGCACTCTGGATGCTCCCCACATGGACTGGGACTTTAGAAGATGCTGCCACATCTCCTCGTGGCTGCGCCTCATGAGCCTTCCTCCTGCAGCAGAGGAAGAGGCAGCCAGGCCTCGGATCCCCAGAAATGGCTTACAGCGTACACGCCAAAGTCAGTCTTAGCAAAGACCCAAACAACCACCGAGCTGTCCAGAGACAGAAGGTGACAGTGTCTCTTTAACTTGAGAACGGTACAAATCACACCACAGACCCTGATGGCCACAGGCCAGAATGTCACCATGCTTCTGATTAAGGCACCCGATTACATAGGGGAGGGGCAGAGGCAGTTAATACATTAGTCTGCCATCTGGAAGGAGCTTCCGGTATCCAGCCTTACCTCGGTCCTGAGGGGCAAATGAGCTCAGCAGACAATGTGCCGACGGATGGGCTGGCAGGGTCAGGCCCCATGATGAGCATGGGCTAAGGTACCCGCGCTCTCATGGCCGAGTGCTTGGGGGCTACTGCTAGCCAAGCTCCGCACCACCTCTCTCCCCATCTTTCAGTTTGATAAGAAAGGCATAACCAGAGGGTGAGTGCCCAGAGAATCAGACGACCTTCCCAGTTTCTTGCAAGGGCTGTGAAGCCACCTGAAGCTTCAGCTCAGGGTTTGGGGAAATAAGAAATCAGGGCACACCAAAACTGCAGATGAGCATTCTTGGATGCATCCTCATTTTGCTCCCGAAGCTGCCTTCCGGGGGCTGTTAGAAACCCTGCTCTTCTTTCCAAGACTCTGATGGATGCCCTGTCTTAAGCAGAAAAGCTTTTTTTTTTTTTTTTTTGTGGGATGGGCTTGATCTCAGTGGTAGAGCATTTGCTGAGTGTGTGTGTTATCTGGGTTTGACTTCTAGCACACAAACACACACACACACACAAAGTGTGAAATGAAATCTTTTCATTTCAGGATTACAACTGAGTCTGGTAGGACCTCAATGAATGGCCAGGGGGACACATTCAGGCACTTTAGGGCCAACAGAGGTGAGGCTGGAACCTGGGCACCACATGCCTGACTGTGTACGAGCCTTTGTGGGAAGACACTGGCCCTGCTGAGATTTTGGTGCAAGTTGCAGCAGGGTGTCAGTCAGCAGGTGCAAAGGCATGGCCAAGCCCTTCCAGCAGGTGGCAACAGGATGCTACACTAGGCCGCCTGTGCCCATGCTTGCCAGTAGGCAGGAGCCAAAGGTGACCCTGGAATAGGCAGCCCCAAGGATCAGCAAGCAGTGGGGGTACAGTGCATGAAGAGGGTCCTAGCCAGGGAGGAAGCATTCTCCCGGCCCTCTAGGGTCAGCACCAAAAGCTGAGCTGGGCTTTGCTAGCATATCCCTATGCTTTCGGAGGCTGCTCATCCTTGGTCCATGCGTGGCTAACCCTGGGAGTCCTCGCCACTAAGCACAGGGACTGCTGCCGGTGGGAAGCCTCTCTCAGGCAGCAGAAAGAGGGCTTTGGAGGTTGGTCTCCCTCTTCCTGTGACACAAAGTAGCATCAGCATATGAGTGGATCCCAAAGGTGGGGGAGCTCAGGGGGCTCAGCTCTGCTCTGCCCTGGGCAGTTCCTGAGGCAGATGCCTCTGTAAAGGGTCCAGTGCTTTAGGGAGTCACCCCCAAATGCCTGCATGCCCAAACCCAACTCTGCGAGTCTCCTGTTCCCTGGGAACCCTGACTGTGAGGAGGGCCATCAGGCCAAGGTTAAAACTCACTAATGCAGTCCTGAGGGAAGCCTCAAGCCTTCTTCCTCACAGCCCCGTCCAGAGGGTAGCTGCTTCAGCACAGGCATATTTACATGGGAAAAGCTCTGGGCAACAAGACAAGGAACAGCCGTGTCTTCAAGCCATTCCATGCCCTCACCAGCTCCTCAACCTGCTCCCAAACCCAGACTCCTGTGAAAATGCAGTGGTCCCCCAAGCCCGCCCACCTCCTGCCTTGGCTCAGAAGTCCCTCCGAAGAATCATGAAAGAAAAAAAGACGCGGTACCTGGTGCCGACCGGAATGAGCAGGACCCAGGAGGCATTTATTGAAAACACAGCATTCAAACATGACGAGTATGGCCAGTGGTGGTTACAATGGTTTGGGTCGCTAGACAATTCATCACAGTTCTACTACACAACAAGACTTGTGCTGGGTACAATAAAGGACACAGCAGGATGGCCAGGAGATGAAGGAGGGTGGTCGGTGGTTTGCTCCAGGGCAAGCGTTACTGAGCATCTGCCTGGCGTACAGCCCAGTCTCCCTCCTTCATTTTTCAGGAGTACCACCTTTACGTACCTGGGATGACCCCCCCCCCCCTCTGACCAAGGACGGCCTGGCGCTTGTCCCCAGCCAACAAGCCACATTCTAAGGGTGCCTGCATTTCCTCAGCTTCTGACAGCCACACCAGAACATGCTGGCACTCCCTTCAACTAACAAACTTTAAAGGACTATTAAGTTAAAAAGTAACACAAAACTTCTTAAAAGGCCAGGAATCCTCATTCCTCCCCGCCTTCTATATCCACTAGAAGGCAGGGTGACATGCTTAGCAGGGACCCTGGCTGGACAGAGCTGGCTCTGTATATCATAAATAATTTAATGTACATACAAAAACACGCACGCACACACTCTGCTTCTATGCAATGCCAAGAATGCAGAAATTAACTCCATACTGTCAGCCTCTTTGAGACTGAGATCCACAGTACATACAAGAGGACGCGCAGACGGTGCCCCAAACCTGTCACATTCCCCCACCAGTTTCTCGGAAGAAAGAGACAGGCAGGCGTTCCCTGTTCTCTCAGGCAGCTGTGCTCCACAAGGTCAGCAGCAGCTGGCCCACATCTCAACCTCGGCCTCACCCGTACCTCTTCAGAGGGGGCCTTTCCCACTCTTTTTCCAGAGCAAGCTGAGCCCTGCAATGCCAGAAACCACCCCGTCTCCTGACACTTCTGGCTCACCGCATGGGGAAGCTGAGTACAACACAGGCTGCTGTCTGACTATGGAGGGTCAGAGGACAGAACAGCTTTTAAGGACCTTCAAAGAGCTTTACCACAGTGGAGCCTCGGTGCCTCTCAAGACCCCATGAGTTCCAAGCAGGACTGACCAGCCACGTCACAAAGAACCAGCGGCTGATGGCCATGCTTGATGTGACGTTCACTCACGTGTACTCTGCCTCTGCCCTCCCTGGGCTCTGGTGCAGAGGGTAAAGGAGCCTGCAGCTTAGTGGGATTATGTCAACAGACAAGTGGCAGGACACAGCAAGGAGTGTGCAGTCCAATCTGGAGCCACCAGAGGGCAGCACGCCAGGTGGGTAAGGCATTGCTCTATGCTTCAGATGGGACCTCAACAACTTCTTCCCAGGGCCATCACCTTCACTGCCAGTGTGCCACCATGTGTTACCTCACGTGGTCCTCAAATCCACGGAGGCCAGCACCCCAGGCCCACTTCACCACTTCAGATGGCTAACCAAAGCTGAGAGACAAGAGGGATTTGTCCAGAACCAAGCAGCTAGCAAGGGCCTGAACTACAAGCCTTCCCCTATGGGAAGGGTGGCATCCTGAAAAACAGGGCCTGAGAGGAGAGTGAGGCTGAGACCACATGGGCCTTGCAGCTGCCCCAGAGACTGAAGGCGGAAGCCTTGTCACCTTCCACAAATTATCCCAAGGAAGACACTTACGCTAGAGAGGAACAAGGTGACAATGACCCAGTGTCACCAACAGTCTGTCCCCTTGGGTGCCATTTGTACAGAGCAGCTACTGATCTGGATGGCCCATCCCATTCCTGCCCAGCTGGCTCTAGGGGCTTGCTGACCACAAGGGACTGCAGGCTTTCTACCATCTACCTGGGACGGGCTGCCTCAAAGCCAGCGCCAAGGCCAAGCCGCACCTAAGAACTGTACTGGCCGCTCCCAGGGAAGGACCCTAAGGGACCGTGAGTCTTGAAGCAGGGAACTGCGAATAGACATGGAGAGGCAGCACAGCCACAGGAGGAATAAGGGACCAGGAGCTTCAGGAGATGAGGGACAGCTCTGCTCTAGTCTTAGCTCACCCCGTGGCTGAGAGGCCACTGTTTGTCAACAGGCCAGTGTTAAGCAAATGACAGGGGTACAGCAGGCAGTCTACACCATCACCTGCAGACTCAGAGTCAGGTGACAAGACTGGGGTGCCTGGAGCTAGCAGGAATACAGGGTCAGAAGCAGGTCACCTGGGAACTGCCCACGCTTGGGTCACGGGGGCTATGAAAGGGTCTTGAGCCAGAGAGGTGGCAGTGGTAAGCAACTACAGGCACCTGAGGTGCACCAGGACTGGGGGGGGGGGGGGGGGGCTGGGGGGGGGTGGGAAATCAGAGGGGGGAGGCATGAACTCAAGGCTCTGCTAAGGGGGCACGAGTGGGGTGGCTAAGAAGACAAGATAGAGTCGCCTGCTTCAGGGGCGGGGCCAAGCCCTGGGCCCATCCATCACTCGTCCTCCCCCCGCAGTCACTGCTGCTTCTCTGACCTTCGGGGCCGGAACCTCCGCGGGCCTGTCGCTTTCCTTGTAGCCACAGCTGCGGTGAAGCCCACCAGGCAACACAGGGACGTGGTACTGAGCTTGAGCGTTTCTAGCCAGCTGGGCGAGGCAGCCTGAAGATACTGCTCTGCCAGGTGCAGCCCCAGCAGCAGGGCCCAGAGACAGGTGGAGAAGGCATCGATCCGTCGGAGCCTGCTGGAGAAAGCAAGGTGAGTGCGTGCCCAGTGGGCAGTACAGAAACCCTAAGCCCTGTCACTTCCTGCACCACGCTCTATCTACACTGGGCCCAGCTCAGAGGGAAGAAGGCCAGTGAGGCCAGGGGAGAGTCTGAGTCCAGCCTACGACTCACAGGCTGCCCAGCACTAAGCAGACTGGTACCCCTATGCCCATTGCCTAGCCTGGGAACCAGGGTAGGAAACTGCCCTCACTTGAGCTTCTACAGCTTCTGTTACTTCTGGGTTTAGAGAGATGTGTGAGGGGACTGGGCCCAGCAGCAGAGGGCAAGTGGTGAACTGGTTCAGTGTCCTGTGTTGTCCTCCGGGCCGCCAGAGAATTGGACAAGCTTGTCTAGCTATCTGGAGTTCAGCCCAGAGCAGGAGACCTCCAAGACCTCTTGATTCCCACACCCAGGCAGCAATGGCATATGCAGCTCTCTGCCTACCCCGTCCCAAGGCCCCACAACACACCTGATCCGGCCAGCCAGTAGCATGGCCAGCAGGCAGGTGAGCAGGCCCACTGCCACAATGCTGGTCTGGTGGCTTTGCCCAAAGGCCCAGGCTTCATGTAGCTTCTCTGTGGCATGCTCAGGCAACAGGCCCAGCAGCTGCTGCCAGCCCTCAGCTTGAGCAGTGGTGTTGTCTGAGGCAGCAGAACTGTTGCCCCCAGGAGGTAGGGCTGGGGGCAGAGCAGCCCCTGGGGTGAAGGGTTCGCTGGGGCCATACAGTGTGGTGGACAATAAGAAGGCACAGGCCAGGAAAGCCAGGGCACGGAGCAGGATGACCCTGAACGGGGCCTTTATTGCCGAGGAACTGAAGCTCTGAGAGAGGGAGAGAAGAGTCAGTGAGAAGGCAGAAAGCCACCAGCAGCCACCTCTATGCCCACCATGTGGGATGCTGGCCCCAGCCTGGACACTCAGTGGTTGTTTGCCTTTGCTTTGCTGCCCAGGCTACCACTGCTCCATCCCAGCCCTAGGCTATCGCCTCACTACGACAGGTCTCTGGGACAGGCTCTGCTCTTCCTTTCTGCATACTGGTGACTTTATGCTTCCAAATCTTTCAATGACTCTGTCAAATTTTCATCAGCAACTCCCATTACATTTAACCAGAATACCACTAAAGTGTGCAGACAGATAACTCTGGCAAAAGTTCAATTAGTTTTGTTTTGTTTTTCTAATAAGTACTCAGATTAGAAACCAGAAAGCTAGAATAAGAACCAAGGGTCTGAGACCTGAGGACAGGGGCTGTCCTACTAGGCAAACACAGGAGAGTAGGGACAGAGGTAAAATGGCCACTTAGCCACGGCTGCATTCTGATTACTATTTCTTTAAAACCTAGACTATTATTTGATTACACGCTGTAACGATTTTAGTCAAGTGTTTTGGGTCTGACCCTGGCCCTGTGTGGATCATGTGCACAGTCCCTGGCGAGCACCTCAGCCCCCATCATTGATTCCCACAGCCGTGACTACGCAGTGCCTAATATATCATGAGGCTGCCATGAAGAATAAATGCAATGGTGTCTGGGAAGTGGAAGGGTCAGCAGGGTCAAGCCAGGCTAAGGTATGTGAGAGCCACATCCTAGTCTCTTAGGAAGAGCCCTTCTGGCTGATGACACCAGCCAACTGTTTCTCGGGAACAGGGTCTTGTTATGCTGCCCTATGGCCCAGCGTCTGGGGCCCAGCCTGACAGCATCTCTCCACAGAGACTCAAAGCTCAAATGCCCCACGGCCTCAGACCTGCCCATGAGCCTGGTCCGCCTGCCGCTGACGGAACTGGTGGCTGAGGAGCAGGGCGCGCAGCTGGCGGTTCTGGTGTTTGATGTAGTACTCCACGGCTGCCTGGCATGGGCGGCACAGCTTGTACATCTGCTCCAGGTGGTGGCGGTACACCTCAATCTCCTCATCATACCGGCCCTGTAGGTGGGGAGGGAGGGCCTGGGTTACAGGTAGAGACTGGCCCAGCTTGTGCAAATGGTAATACGAAGTCCTAGGAGGAAGGCTTAGCGGAGGACAGGAGCCTATGACACAGCGATATTCATGACATTCTGTAGCTCATGACCTGCTCAAGTGTGTGGCACAGAGAGGGGAGCCTCTAGATTCTGGCAGTACAACCTGGGACCAGGGCCTGCCTTTCTCCTTGAGTCTGAAAGTCTAACACACACCAGAGAGCTGGCTGGTGGCTGGGCCTGGATTAGCAAGAGCCAACTGATTCTTTAGTTTTGCGGTAGGCCAGGAAACAAGCCCCACCCTTTGCTCTCTCAGCGATGCTGTACAGGTCAGCGCATCAGTGGAAATGGCTAGTGTGATCTTATTAGAGTAAACAGGAGCGCCACCTGGCGTCAATTTCCCTCATGGCCTCTTTGCAAAGATCTTCTTAAAATTACATCTATTCAGGTACTGTGTCTATGTGAGCATGTACAGGGAGTCAGAAGAGACTCTGGGGAGGGGGGAAGGGGGGGAGTCTCTTCTCCCCTTCCACCATGTGCACTCCAGGAATGGGAACTCTGATAACCAAGCTTGCGTGTAACTGTGTGTCCACTGTGCCATCTTGATGGCTCTTAGCCTCCTGGTTCTTTCCTAGGCATCTTTGGGCCTCGCCTCAGGTGGGATCTGCCTCTGTGCCTCCCCGGAAAGGACAGGCAAGACAGACTAGCAAATAAGGCCAGGATATAGCCCCTAAAGCTGCAGCTGGAGCTCAAGGCCTCTACCCTTCTAGCCTGACATGCTCTGGTTTCCACAGCGTTCTCCTAGTGGTCACAAGGTCAGTGAGAACAAGCTCAGCTGCAGCTGAGAAGGAAGCCACCCACCCCGGAATATGAGGCAACAAGAGGCAAGCAAGCAGCCAGCCAGCTGCCTGGCTCTACCCGGCCGTGCATGCTCACCTCCTCCCGCGGTGTGAAAGCAGCCAGCTGCTTGATCTTGGTGGTCTGGTGGTGGCTGCACCTTCGGCAGAGCAGGACCTGGCTGCTCACCCACTGCTGCGGCTGTGCAGGGTCAGGGGGGTTGGACACGCTGCTCACCACGTGGTTCAGGTGTTCCATGTACTGCGCGGGGATTGGCTTGTTGTAGTCTCCATTCTGGGGAAGGCAGGAGCTCCCGGTCAGTGGGGGCCGATCAGGGATGTCCCAGATTCCAGACAACCCTACCCTGGTCTTTACACAAGAGCAGCACCATGCTTTCTGATGCTGCCTCACACAGAACCTCAAAAATCTAGGTGCTGATAAGCCACCCAACATGTGCAGCAGGGCAGGCCCTGGGGTGCCCCTTGCCCACGTCTCTCCCCCTGGCTTTGTCCCTTAGAACCACTGAGAACTCAGCCTGTAAGCTGGTTCACTGCTTGTGTTACTAAGTCTCAGGAAAAGCTACACTCAGATGCTCAGACACTGTCTATGGTGGCTGGGCAGTCGAGGCTCCAGCAGAGAACAAACCACCCACAAAGCTGAATACCGAGCATCTGCAGAGCTAGGCTACAGACCTGCCCTGCTCTTGACTCGAACCGGACCTTGCCACCTGTTGTGGTGAGACAGGACGAGTGGCCACAGCTCCCTGCACCTGCTCTTTTTCCTCAAAGGGAGACAAGGTGCCAGGACCAGTCAGAAGACAGCGGCGTGGAACGCTGAGCTCAGGGCCGGCTCAGCAGCAGCACTGCCCACCCCCGCCAGCCCGTACCTCCTGGAAGCCATTGTACTGCTCACAGTGGGGACAGTCCCAGCAGTTGCGATTCCCATAGGGCACCAGTGTATCCATGTTGCAGAACCAGCAGTTGACCACCGTATGCGTTGGCTTCCCCCTGCGGACCAAGAACAGAGTTAGTCTGGAAGACCTCGGTACCTGTAAAGTGTGAGACCATGGACGAACAGGAAGTGGCATCCAGGTGGAGCTGAAGCCCAGCCAAAGGAAGAGGAGGGACCCCTTAGATGCCACGTTTTCCCAGGAGGATCAAAACTGACAAAGGACTTGGCAGGAGGCAGCTAGAGACGCATCAGCTCCGCAGGCTCCAGAGCATCCCCCTGGGAACCTAGCCCACCAGTGCCCTATGGTCTGTGTCTCAGACAAGGGGAGGGGTAGGTTGGGGAGGTAGCGCTTAGGATCCTTCTTCCCTCCAGAGTCTATTACCAAGAGCTGTGTTGTGGAGACTTCTAAGACTGAAGGGAGCTTCCTGTCCTCAGAAAAAAAATCCCTAGAGGAGAGAGAGCCAAGGAGGGCAAGGGATGGGGACTGGTGACAGGCACAGGGAAGTCACAGCTGCTCGGCGAGGGCCCAGCCTTTGGGTAAAGAGAAAGAGGTGGGAGAAGGGGGGCAGGCCCACAGTGGGCTTCGTTGGCCACACAAACAGGTGTGGCTGCAAGATAATCCTGGCCCAGACACTGGGGATCTGTGCAGCTTTGTAGAGGGCGCACAGCAACTGCCCGGTAAAGCCAGCCCCAGGAATCTACAAACAATACAGGCGAAGGGCAGCTGCTGTGGAGCCCTGGAGCCCCGACCTTGCCCTTTTGCCTTGTCTTCACTCAGAGGCCGTGTCTAGTTCAAGGGCACTGCTGAGACCTGGCTGCAGTGAGGCACCACACAGATAGCCCTGCTCCTTAGACAGCGCAACTCTCTGGCCTCTGCATCCTGAAGGAGAGGGCCCGGCCTGTGGAGGCTAGGAATGTGTGCCGCTAGGAGGTTCCCAGCACGGAAGCCGCGGCTGTAAAGCAGACCACAAAAAACACTTGCTGCTTCTGCATGTCACGAGGATGCAATGACAAGACATGAGCTTTGTCGGGAGGCCAGCCTTGGAAGAGGGGATCTTGCTCCTGACTAAGCCCACACTGCCTGGCCAGCAGCCCCACTGCCTTCCAAGTTAAGGAAAGAATCCTGTCAGCTGGGTTAGATAAGAACACCTCCCTCACTCTTGGAAGTACTGACAGTGTTTTGGCCTACTCAATGTCAATAAATAGATGACAGTGATGGGAGAGGCTGGTGCTCTCTAACAGCCCAGTCTCACACTTCCTTCTCTACCTCAGTTCAGGCCTAACCCCGTAAGTGGCAGGAAGGAGTGCTGGAGAAGTGCCTCCTCAGCAGTTAAGACACTCACTACTCCTGCAGAGCACCGCAAGACTGGATCCCAGCACCCACTTCCAGTGGCTCACAACCGCCTCTAACTCTGGCTCCGGGGATCTGCGGGGATCCACAGGCACCTGCACTTATGTACACACATAGAGTTTAAAACAACAATAAAAAACAAGCAAGCCCACAAAGGACCTCCACACCTCACCAACAACAGCACAGGGCCCACAGGCAAAACCTTAGGACCACACACGAGGCAAGGTTCCCCGGACCTTGGTCTCCAGGGTCACTCTACTCCCTAGAAGCTTCATTTTAATCTCTCATTTCTCAAATGGGTTGCTCAGACTTTGCTATTTCCCTGGTACTTGACAGCATGACTGGCCCCAAAATGGTAAGGGCAACACAGAAAAACTGCGGCCCCAGCTGTGGCTGGATATTTGGAAGCGTGCTCTGCCGGGGTGCCTGTGTGTTTGGCATTCCTGGGCAATTAAGCCCTCACTTTGTGGTAATTTGTACATCTTTATAGGCCGCTCTGTAATTATGCATGAGGCATGCCTCAGAGCTGGCACTCAGCAGCGTGCCCTCTCACCTGTCTGAGACAAAGCACCCTACCTCTGGGGCTCCTTAGCCCTGTTCTATTTGATGGGAAAGCCCAACTTCTGGGCTTGCTCTAGGGACAACGACAGGCAAGCAGGGACTGTGGCTCTAACTGACAACTCTGCCAGGAAGCCCACCCCACCCAGGAAGCCATCATTTCCACTCTGGGTCTCCAGCTCTGTTGCTAGGGAAATGGCTCCTGGCAAAAGCCTGGTCTGGAAGTGGAAGGCGGGGGATTCATCCTCCCCTAAAGCCAGAGGCTAATCTCTGCCAGGGGTAGATGATGGAGGGAGGGGGGTTTCCTCTGTGGCCAGAGCAACCATTGTCCACCATGGCCAGGTGGGTCTCCACACCAGAAGCTACCTCCTACAGAGACAGCCCCAAAAGCTATCTGGGCTGGAGCAGCAGGGCAGCTGGCCAGAACCTCAGACCTAGCACCAACCAGCTGCGGCGCCATGTACCAAAGGGCAGGTGAATATGTGAAGGATCCCAGCAGCTACTCCACAGTTCCAACACTGTCCCCAGGGCACACCGCGCAGTCCCAGCCTCAGAACTCACCCAGTTTTTGCTTAGGGAAAGCCCCCTCAGTCTCCCTAACGGACACCTTGGCCCACTTTTCCTCAAGCCAATAATCTCTACGACAAATCACATTTGGGGAATAAGATGGAGGCGATGAGACGGCATGTCCCTTTAGCCCAGGGGAGGAAGGTGCCTTGGCCTGGCCCACGCCCAAGCCCAGGTCACGTTCAGTGCCATGGGCGGGTGAGGGACCTTAAAGCCATTTCTCCAGCTGGTCACTGTGACACTCAACTCTTGGTGTGCCTGAGGGAGTCATGGTAGATGGAGTCTTAGAAGGGGCCAGGGGCATGCCTGGGGTCCCCACAAGCTTGAAACACACAGCGGGAAAATGAGCTTGTGTCAACAGTGATGTTTTCCCCATCAGCTCAGAGCATTTAGGAAGAGCAAGCCCCTGCCTGGCACCTCAGCACAGATGCATTACCTCAAGTTCCTTGGCCCAGGAACCAGTCAGGGCCAATGCTATATCACACAGAAGACACAGGATGGGCTTGGTTGCTGGGGTGCTGTGAGTCTGTGGGGGCCAGAGTGTCACTCTCTCCTGAAGGAGTCTGACAGGCTATGTCTGTCAGAGCCAGGCTTGGCTCCCCAGGGTCCGGGGAAAGCTCAGCTTCACAGGATGTTCCTTCTCTGCTCTTCCAAGTGTGACCTCAACTAATAGGAAGAGTTCAAGGAGGCGCATACCCTTCTCCAACAGCAGCAGCAGTGCTGAACAGCAACTCTGCACAGCTCAGACCAAGGAGATGCACATCTCCAGCCCAATGTCACCCACAACAGCAGGGAACCCCAGAACTTATCCCTCGGGGAACAGAGCCAGCCCAGATGGACACATTAGCCACTCCGTCCACTGAGCACCATGCAAGGCTTTCAGAGATTGACAAATGAGCAAAACGCACCGACTGGACTACCACACAAGAATGACACAGATGCCATAGGATTGGCCAACACACAGGACATGGGCTGTCATCCAGAAACAGGTGCCCCCAGCAGCAGGGCGGACGGCAGGAGAGGGCTGCATAAAATGAGCACATGGAGTGGCATCCACACCCACGGAACAGGCAGCTCAGAACACTGAATGTTGAGGTGCCCGGAGACAGGAGTGCCGGGCCTCTGAACGCTAGGACAGGCTCTACTGTACATCTGAGAGGCCATGCCCTCGTCTCCTCCAAACACAGAAACTATGATCTCAATACAGACAGACGCCACAGGCTGTGTAAGGACGGAGACAGGTGCTGAGATGCACCCAAAAGGGGCGAATCCCGGGCGCACCGTGCACAGGGGCAAGGCACGCCTGAGCAGAGCATGAAGGGGGCGGTGGTGCAAGGAGAGGGAGGTGGCACCCGCCCCAGGGCTGTACTATAGAGAAGCCCCTGGCTGTCCCGCAGCGGGGCGTGACGCGGTGACGCGGGGCAGTCCTCCGGGCTTTGTTTCCCCAGCTGTAAAATGGACCAGAATGGCAGCACCTGCCTCACTGGAGTGTGTGTCACCTGCACAGGAGCGGCAGCTGCTCTCCTTTTCACAGTAACTGGAACAAGAAAACGCCGTGGGTGAGGGAGCAGGGTGGCTGGATTTGGCTCCAGGGCCTCTCAGCAACCACTGTGGCCAACTTTAAACTTCAGGAAGGGCTGCCCTGAGCAGAGCTAATGGGACATTCTCTCCACACGGCTCCTCAGGGCTATGGTCTTGCCCCTACCATTTCTGTGCTTAGCTTGAAAACACCCACTCCACCAAGTGGCCTTCCAAAAACAGCTCCTTGTAGGCCCTCCTCCGGTTTATTCTCCACCACAGCTGATTCCGGCCTGCCACAGCATTCCCCGCTGGTAAAGGGGAAAGCTGCAGCCTCGCTTCAGAATTCTGAGTGGCCAGTTCGCCTCCAGATGAACTATGGAGCTAGTGAGAACACACAAGCGTGCAGCACCATTCTTGGATTAACCAGCAGCAGCAGTACTGGCGGTGCAGACACACTACCTTGACTGTCTGGTATGAGTCTGAAAGGGGCACACAGGGATTTTGGCTTTTTTTTTGTTTTTGGCTCCCCTGCAAGAGCACATGTCCCAAGGCCTCAGAGTCCTGTCTCCAGCAGAGGCAAGGCCCTCACTGGCAGGACAGGAAGGGGTGACAGGCAGTGACCCAGTCCTGGCCACATGCCCTATCCTAGGCTGATGGAGAGGCAATGGTACCCAGGAGGAGGTCCAGCACTGGCCAGGCTCTGTTGGCACATGAAGACTGGCCAGGTTCCTCTAGGTCTAGGTAATGAAAGACTGCTTTGGGCTGCCTAATCTTAGAGGTCCCTCTGACTTCCAAAAACTGGGTGGGAACAAGAAGGGAAGCTTGGGTTGAGAGCCCTGGAGTCAGACACTCTCAGGACCCCTCCTCCAGACACTGCTGACTTCCACTCCTTCACCTCCTTCCCCTGTGTCTCACCTACCTCCAACACCTTTTGCCTGTCTTCCACTCTAGGAGAAAAGCAGGGTTAGAGAAGACGACCCATCAGCCAGGCTGCCAGGCGTTCAAACCACAACCCCTTGTTGCCCAGAGACTAGGGGCAAGTCCTGAGCTTTGTACAACCCTGGCTGTCCCCAAGAGGCTTTCATAGATGCATATACACTCCCGCCCTCAGGAAACGTGATCAAGTGGGCTATTCCTTCACCCTGCTGAAGAGGCTGTTTCATTTCGTACTTTGACCACGGAGGAGAATGTCCAAGGCCAGCTTTGAGGAATGGGGTCTCCGCGATCTCTGGCCACCGCAGGACAGAGTATCGCCCCCAAGCCCATCCCAGACAGGTGTCCAAGGAGTACAGCGTTCACCTGAGCGGACAAGCTCCCTAAATGTGAGGAGCGCAGGCTCCTGCCTCAGACTGCCCCTGTTCACACGTGCCTCTTCTAAATATTTAGCTCGAAGGCTTCCCTGTGGGGAAGCTCCCGTGAGGAGTGGTTATTGCCACCGAATGAGGACCATCGAGAGACAGTTCTCATCACCATAACCGATGCCGTGCGGAGGCCCAGCAGAGCAGTACAAGCAGGGGCGCAGGCCTCGAAGGGAGGAGCAAGCAGGCAGCCCCCTCCCCCAGCCACGTTCGGAAACTGCTCCCCGAAGAGGTTCTGAGCGGGGTGAGGGTAAAGGCGGAGGCGCAGAAAGGGTGTCGCGCCTCCGCAAGCAGGCCTGGGACTCCGCCGTGGCCTCGCAGGGGCGGGGCGGCGGCCCGGGCCGCGTGCAGCGGGGCGCGCACTCACCTCCGCGCAATCCGGTAGAGCAGCACGCCGGCGGCAGCGCACGCCGTGATCCCCAGGCCGCCCGCCAGGCCGGCGGTGGGGTAGCTGGCCAGCAGCGCGCTCACTCCCTCCATGGCTCCCGGGCGGGGTGGGTGGGCTGGGGGCGCGGGCCGCAGAACCGACTCCCGGCGGCCAGCGCGCTCCTGCTCGCGCCGTGACCTTCGCCGCTTTGTAGCCGGCGCGGGCCCGCCCCTTGACTCGGCGCGCTCCCGCCGCGCAGCCAATCGCGGCTCGGGGCGAGCCAGGGTGGGCGGGGCGCCGACGGGAGCGCTCAGCGCTGGCTCGGACGCGCCCTCCAGCGGCCGGAGTTTGAAAGCCATGCTCTAGAGCTGAGGAGTGCGACCCAGGCCTGCAGCCTGCGCATGCGTGCACTTTGCATCTCGGTGCGCTACGTAGAGCCGACTAGGGTCCTGCTCTTCTGCGCCAACGCTTGCCAGTGATTTCCTCTGGTTAGTCTTGTTTTCCTGGCGTCCGGCCAATGCCGCTCCAGAAGCCACAGTGGTTGAAAATTAGCTTGCACAAACACAAGCGTCTAAAGATGGGAACGAGGTTAAATAATCACAGGATAGGCACGCTTCAGAACATAATGCAGCCATTAGAAAGAATGGCTGAGATGGAGGTATTGTCCCTGAGGAAGTGTTCTTATTTTTAAGTCAAATGTAGATGATTTTCATAGTTGCCAAGTTTGATGAAGCCTGCGCACGTCAAATAGATTACCTAGGGGAGTGAGCTTGAGGGAAGAGCCACTTTATGAGTGTTTCAGCATTTACATGGGCTAAATTACTGACCAAGAAAACCTCACTGAGGCTTTCATCCCGGCGGAGGCAGGTGGATTTCTGTAAATTTGAGGCCAGCCGGCCTGGTTTACAGAGTGAGTTCCAAGGTCATCAGGTAATCCAAGGGCTACTAGTGAGGGCTTTCCAAAAGAAGAAAGAGAAAGGAAGGAAGGAAGGGAGGGAGGGAGGGAGGGAGGGAGGGAGGAAGGAAGGAAGGGAGAAAGAGAGAGAAAGAAAGAAAGAAAGAAAGAGGAAGGAAGAAGAAGGAAAGAAAGAAAGAAAGAAAGAGGAAGGAAGAAAGAAGAAAGAAGGAAAGAAAGAAAGAAAGAAAGAAAGAAAGAAAGAAAGAAAGAAAGAAAGAAAGAAAGAAAGAAAATTCTAGCAAGAAATATTTATATCAGGTCAGGCAGGTGTAGTGATACATTTCCTTAATCCCAGCGCTAGGGAGGCAGAAGCGTGCTGAGCTCTCCGAGTTCAAAGTCATCCTAGTCTGCATAGCGAGTTCCAAGACAGCCGGGATTATATAGAGTGTCTCATTAAAAAACTTTTTGAAAAATGTTTATATCTAATTACATTATGTTTTTGTGGAATGCCCCAACATACACACAGTTTGTGTCACTGTAACCTCTTGCCCTCTGTTGACAGTATCTGTCCATGCATGCGCAGTCATTACAAGAGAAGGAGGCCTGTGCGTCTGGGCTGGAAGGCTTCCTGTGCACATCAGAGAAACGGCCTTTCCCATCCATCTTCCTCGCACTTTTCACCAGCTCTGAGCGTGCCTAGGGTGCACGGGCTCACAAAACTCGAGGTTAAACATCATTCCTTTTCTGGGTTTGGTGCCTACCTTGAGTTCCAGGGAAGGTCTCTACTGAGGAGGAAACTGTCATCTAAGAACTTCCTGAACATCTCTCACGATCTTAGGCATTTCATGATCATTGGTAGCTCTTAAGTCTTGGTAAAAGGAAAAAAAAAAAAAAAATTCAGAGCCAGTTTTCAGACTCAGAACGGCTCAAGATTGGATGGGTTCCAAGGCCCATATGTGAGTTTTGGTGTCGAGCCTGTGAAGCAACTGGAAGGTGACAGAAACTAAAAACAAACAACAGAACAAAAGCATCTTCTATTTGTATGAGTGATTGCCTGCATGTATGTTTGTGTGCCACAGTGGTTGCCTGGAAGGGGAGGTAGATGGTTCTGAGTCACCATGTGGGTGTCAGAACTTGAACACATAACTTGTAAAAGGAAAACCAGTGTTCTTAATAGATGAGCCATTTCTCTAGCCCCACGTAGTAGACACTGCAAGAGGTAAGGGCTAGTAGAAGGTCACTGAGGACGTGTGCTGGAGGAGACTGTGGGACCTTAGTCTCCTGCTCCTGCTCCCAAGACGCTAGATGGCTCTTCTTTGCCCTCTCTAGAGGCCCCCAAACAAAGGATCAATCGATCATGGACTAGAATTACTTAACCTTTTAACCCGACTACCTCAGGCATTCGTGACTACATCAGTTAGAACATTCACCAGGCTTCATGGTCCTTGCTGCCCCGCCCCACCCCGCCCCGCCCCTTTATTCATTCATCCAGTGGAGGGACACGCATTCCTGTAGTTGTTTCCCATTTGCACTCTGCATCATCTCAAGCTAGTTGTGTAGGGTTGGCCTCACTGCTGACAAGGTTGCCTGGGTTACTTACATGGGGAAACACCTGCCCCCTGGATCCAGTGCCTGGCAGGTGCCTGGATGCAGTGAGGGCTGTTAAAGCCAGAAATGTATTCATGTGCACGCAGATGTATGTATAAGGCCTATTTAAAGGTAACAAATTGAGCTACTTTTGTTGCTCTTAGGGTTTGATTCATGCAAGCAACAGGCAAGACACTTATACATATAAAATAATAAACCTAAAAAACCCCAGAATTTCTAGGGCTGGGTTGGGGGGGTGCACTCCTTTAATCCTAGCACTCGGGAGGCAGAGGCAGACAGATTTCTGAGTTTAAGGTCAGCCTGATCTACAAAGTGAGTTTTAGGACAGCCAGGGCTTCAAAGAGAAACCCTATCTCAAAACAAACAAACAAGAACAAAAAACAAACAAAAAAGGAACATAGTAGCTCAATGAAGGGGAAGCAGAAAACTAACTCATAGCCCATGTAAGTTCTCATTGTGGAAGACACCCAGGCCACCCTTGCCTCGCGGCACAGGGCAGCAGCTGCCGCTACTATGCACAAATATGTGATGGAGAGGTGAGAAAGAAAGAAAGAAAAAAAAAAAAACCCTAAGTGTTGTATGCACTGTGGAGAGAGGCAGAACTGGAGACATGATGGCAGTGACAGATGAGAGAGAGCTGAGGTTCACATGGACACAAGCAGGCTGTGCTGTTGCCCCACTTGGAGCCATGTGGAGGGTCTGCAGAGCCGCTGAGGGCCAGGGGTGAATCAGTGGTCCTGATGTGTCCAGTGGTGGCGTGAGTGTGCGAGAGCTGTTCCCACCCCTCCTCAGCCGAGCAAGGCTCTCCTCAGTTGATAGCTGCTGGCGTGGGTGCAGAAGAAAGACTTACTGTCCCTTGGGGAGCTGGCCACTAGGAATTTGATCATGTTCCAGTGAATATATGGACAACACAAAATGGATGTTTTTTTCTCTTCATTTTTTTTGAGGGGGGGGGCTGTGGACATGGAGGACTGGGAGGAGCTAGTCAGCACAGGAGGGATATCTAAGCATATTCTCCGATGTAGCCAATACTAACGACGTGTGTATTAATTGAGGGTCTTGATGTTAATGGTTTAAAGGATGGGAAATGTGGCTGAATTAGCAGAGTATTGGCCTGGATGCATAAGGCCCTGGGTTCAATACCCAGCACTGCATGAATGACTGAGAGTAGAAGTAAGTAGAAGGAAACATTCAAATACCAAAAGAAAACCCCAAGATGTATTTACCTGTTGGATTCTTTCATCTCCTTTCTACACCATCCCTATACCTTCCAACTGCCCAACACTAAGTAGGAGAGAAAAAAGGTTAGAGGGGGAAGGGGGTGTGATATAGTTAGACTACTTCCTGCTGACGAGGCATGAGTGTGATCTCCCTCATCAGGATATCAGCAATAGGAGCAAAAGGGGCAGCAGCAGGGAGAGCAGCAGGTCCTCTTGGGGCTCTGTCATCTATATACCCTCTGAAGAATCCCCAGAACTCCAAACGTAAACTAGCCTCAATTGGCAAAATTACTCCCCTGCCAGAGAATGAGGCAAATCACAGTCAGTTGCTGTGGACAAGCTAAGGTGCCCCACATCCCACACCTGGGATTAAAACAAAAACAGAATCACATAACATTTCTGTGTTTTTAAAAATAACCAAAATTCTCACTACATTTATACAAAAACACAGGAGGAAAGGAAGCAGTCTAGGCAAGTGTGGTTGCATATGCCTGTAATCCCAGAAATTGGGGCAGGCAAAGAATAAGAGGATCAGTTCAGTGTCATCCTCAGCTACATGAGTTTGAGGCCAGCCTAGAATACACATGATCTTATCTCACAACAAACGAGGGCAAACAAAATCAGCACCCAACCAAATAGCAATAACAAACAACAACAAAAACAGGACTAGAGAAATGACTCAGTGGTTATGTGCACTTATTCTTGCAGAGGACCTGTGTCTGATTTCCAGCACTTGTGTGGGAGCTCACAATTCACTCCAGTTCCATGCCCTCTTCTAAACTACTCTACAGCACACCAAGGCACTCACCTGTATGTCTTGGTACAAAGACACAGACTGAGCAAAACAAACATAACAAACATACACATAATGTAAAAAAAAATAAAAATAAATAAAAGAAAGAAATTAAGGAATCTAATTTCTAAACATTATGATAAAATTATTCAGGTTTTCCTAGGAGTATTAAAACTGTGTTAACAGGCTAGAGAGATGGCTCAGAGGTTAAGAACACTCGCTGTTCTTCCAAAGGTCCTGAGTTCAATTCCCAGCAACCATATGGTGGCTTATAACCATCTATAGTGAGATCTGGTGTACAGGCAGAATGCTGTATAAATAATAAATAAATAAATCCTAAAAACAAAACAAAAACAACAACAAACAAAACAAAACAAAACTGTGTTAATACTGTTGCCTGGTGCCACTGTCAAGCAGCTGTGAGTTTCTGGGATGGAGATTGGTCTCCTGCCATGCCCTTCGGGAGCATGGAAAGACAGTGGCTCACTTTGACTTCTAGACACTTTTTGAAGCAAAGGAAGGAGCGAGGGGCAGGCACCAGCCTCCTAAACAGTAGAGGAACAAATGGAAATGACACACGCTGACGCTCCCCTCCTCTCAGCCTCTCCAGAAAACCTGCAGCCAAATCTGAAATACACCTCAGCCGCCAGCCAAGCACCTCAGGGTCCACAATGAATG